TTCCAGAGTTTGCTTGAAGCCCCCTAAACTTCTTTCCAGTCTCCAACTTAATTTTTGAACTTTTTTCAGCTTCCACTTTAGTCCTTCGCCTTCTTGAATTAGTCCAATTGCATATATGGACGAGATACAAATTTTAGAGCCCATGTTTGATTTTGGTACAAAGTTGAGTTCATGTATAGTTTTGATTAGGGGTGTCGACATACAAAAAATGAAGTCAAATTATTTGGTCCCAGAACTGGAGCCCAGTTAGGGAGTTCAAGATATAGGCACAAATGAGACAATTGTAGAATATAACAGATATCCATAAACAAAGTACTATCATTGCCCAAATCTGCAGGACGCCCAGGATCCGAGCGAATGAAGTGCTTTATTGTCACCCAGAAAGATGATTATATTCTCACCCAAGCCTTTGAGTCGCTCAAGATTTGAGCGAATATGGTGTCTTGTGGTTACTTAAAATGCGGTTATTGAGCAACATTATCAAACCCCACGATCCAAGAATCTTGGTTACAAGCCATTAAATGACAAGAGCAGTAGCAACAGTTGCAAACGGCAGTTCCTTGACAAGTCAGCCATCACGAAGAAAGTGGGTAATTATAAAGTGCCAAGCAATTTTCAGGCAGTTCTACAGAGAAAATCGTCAAAGGAGTATAAAAAATAAAAGAAGACATAGAAGGGAGGACCCTGAATCAATCACTCTCAAGCAGAGAATATGTAATTTCAATTCATTTAATTTTCTAAGTGCAAACTTTCAATTTACTTCGTGTGCTTGTGCCCATTGGAAGCGTTTTGCTTCTTCCCAATTGTAATCTTCATAAATAAAGCACCCCATTTTGGGACTTTATCTCAAGAGATTTGTTCCTTACACAAGCATCTGAACTTATCTTTTAATTGTTAGCGACAACTCGCGCAAAACAATTTGGCACGCCCAGTGGGACAATTGGTGTTTGAGGATACGAAAATTGAAGCATTATGCATCATAAGAATTCTGATAAAGAACTAGTAAGTCAGGAGTAGTCCAGTCTGTAATCGAGTAATATGAGGAGCAGCAAAGCTCTCCACGAACAGATGGACATAGTCAAAGCAGTCAAAATCGCTACGAGTCAATGACAGAGTTGAGTCCTCGAACCATGTGCGCATTGCTTGGGGAACTCACATGGGACGTCGTTGAATAGGTAAATCCACGAAATGTTCATAATATGGAAAGATTTACCCAAAATTGGAATGCACATTATGACAACATGGCTAAACAACTAAATACATTAAATGAAATCATGAACAAGTTAGTAGGCCAAATGTGTCAGGCACTTGGGCCAATTGCAAGCCACTTTCAAGCCAGGATGATTGTGGGGACATAATTCCCCAGTCCTGAGTCCGAATCAAGGAATAGAACCACCTTCTGGACCATCTACTT